ACTAAATATACAAATTTAAGAGATGATTCTTTTAGAAAACAGCTTGGTATTGGCATAACAACAGAGAAGTCGACCTATGGAATCGAATAGAAGACCCGAGTATTAATCCACAAACTTATGAACACCTGATTTTTGACAAGGTAGCTAAAGGTATACAATGGAAGAAGGATAGCATCTTTAACAAATGGTGCTGGCATAACTGAATGTCAACCTGTAGAAGAATGAAAATAGATTCATATCTATCACCATGCACAAAACTCAGGTCCAAATGGATTAAAGACATCAACATTAATCCGACCACTTTGAACCTGATAGAAGAGAAAGTGGGAAGTAGTCTACAAGATATAGGCACAGGAGACCACTTCCTAAGCAGAACCCCAGGAGTGCAGACAATAAGAGAAACAATGAATAAATGGGACCTACTGAAACTGAGAAGCTTCTGTAAAGCAAAGGACACTGTCAGTAAGACAAAAAGGCTACCTTCCGACTGGGAGAAGATCTTCACAAACCCCTCATCAGACAAAGGTCTGATCTCCAAAATATACAAAGAACTCAAGAAACTAGACACTAAAACTCTAATTAACCCAATTAAAAAATGGGGTACTGATCTGAACAGAGAATTCACAACAGATGAACTTCGAATGGCCAAAAGGCACTCAACCTCCTTAGCGATCAGGGAAATGCAAATCAAAACAACTTTGAGATATCATCTTACACCTGTCAGAATAGCCAAACTCAAAAACACCAATGATAGCCTATGCTGGAGAGGATGTGGAATGAGGGGAACACTCATCCATTGTTGGTGGGAATGCAAACTCGTGCAGCCACTCTGGAAATCAGTGTGGCGGTTTCTCAGGAAACTGGGAGTCAACCTCCCTCAGGACCCAGCAATTCCACTCTTGGGAATATACCCAAGAGGTTCCCTAACATACTACAAAAGCATTTGTTCAACTATGTTCATAGCAGCACTATTTGTAATAGCCAGAACCTGGAAACAGCCTAGGTGCCCCTCAATAGAAGAATGGTTAAAAAAGGTGTGGAACATATACACATTAGAGTTTTACTCAGCGGTAAAAAACAATGACATCTTGAATTTTGCATGCAAATGGATGGAAATAGATAACGCTTTACTGAGTGAGGTAAGCCAGACCCAAAAAGAGGAACACGGTATGTATTCACTTATAAGTGGATTCTAACCATAATTAAAGGTCTTTGAGCCTATTATTCGTGATCCTAGAGAAGCTAAATAAGAAGGTGAACCTGATGAAGATTATTTAGCTATCCGCCAGGAGATAGGAAATAGACAAGAGTCCCAGATCCTTCATCTGGCAATGGATGGAGATAGAGACAGAGACCCACATTGGAACACTGGACTTAACTCCCTAGGTCCAAACGAGAAGCAGAAAGAAAGAGAACGTGAGCAAAGAAGGCCAGACCAGAGGGAGCCTTAATCCGACAATGGATGGTGATACAGACGGAGACCCACATTGGAGCACCGGACTGAGCCCCCCAAGGTTCAAATGAGGAGCAGAAGGAGGAAGAAAATGAAAAAGTAAACCAGGACTGCGAGGGATGCGATCACCCACTGATACAAGGGGACTGATCTAATGAGAGTTCACCAAGGCCAGTTGGACTGGGACGGAATGAGGACGTGATCCAACCAGATTCTCTGAATGTGGCCGGATTCTCTGAATGTGGCTGGCCCGGAGTCTTTCTGAAAAGCCATTGACAATGATACTGGGACTTGTTTCCTCTGCATATACTGGATTTTGGGGATCCAGTCTGTTTGGATACTCACCTTCCTGGACCTGGAGGGAGGGGGGAGGAACTTGAACTTCCCACAGGGCAGGAAACCCTGACTGCCCTTAGGGATGGAGAGGGAAGAGGAGAGGGAGTGGGGGGAGTGGGAGGGTGTTGGGAGGAGGGGCGGAAATGGAAACTTTTATAATTTAATAAAATTACTTTCTCATAAAAAAAAAGAGATGATTCTTTTAAAATTTGAAAATAGGGCTGGTGAGATGGTTTAGCAGGTAAAGGTTTTTGCTTCACAAATCTGATGACCTGCGCTGGGTCACAAGATTCCAGAGGGGAAGGAGAGAATCAACTCCCAAAAGTTGTTCTCTGACCTCTGCACAATGTCAAGTCATACGTGTACCAAGACACTCTCTCTCTCTCTCTCTCTCTCTCTCTCTCACACACACACACACACACACACACACACACACACACACACACACACACACACACAATAACGAATTTGAAAATGCAAGTAAACCCATTTGGACAGAGTTGGACATTAACCTAATCTGAAAGGGAGAGGAGGCTCTGACCCAAATGCCATCACTCAGATCTGAAGAGGGAAAAGAGATGCAGTTACTTTCAAGGCTGAGCAGTTTGCTCTCCGTGGAATTTAGTGTCACATCCTCGAGTTCAGCAGCATGAAGACTTTCCCCACGGGGCTGTGTATCCATCCTTTCCACCTCTACTAGCACCTTTACAGAAGTATCACACTAACACTGGTCCTGCACTAGCATCCCTTCCAGAAGTATCACACTAACACTGTGGTCCTGTACTAGCATCCCTTCCAGAAGTATCACACTAACACTGTGGTCCTGCACTAGCATCCCTTCCAGAAGTATCACACTAACACTGGTCCTGCACTAGCATCCCTTCCAGAAGTATCACACTAATACTGGTCCTGCACTAGCATCCCTTACAGAAGTATCACACTAACACTGGTCCTGCACTAGCATCCCTTACAGGAGTATCACACTAACACTGGCTCCTGCAGTCCCCCTTTAAACACATCAACAGCTGCCTTTTTTGGAGTTTTTTAGCAGAGGACTCCAAAAAAAGCAGCATTTCTAGATTCTCGCTAAGTTTTCCCTTCTTTATAACTGATTACCCTTTCCATACACAAGTCTAAGAAAATTTATTGTGCTTTCCCCACTACATCCAACAGTTTATCAAAGGTAACATTAACCACTTCAAAACTTTGGGTCAATGTAACAATCCACAGACATATATTGATCAATAGCTATGAAGTATATCTGAGGAAAATGGGCTCATCATCCTGCCCAGCTGGGTCTGTGATAAGCTTTAGGGAAGTGCTTTCTATTATTGGATTGTATGAGTCAATAATCACATTCCACAAATTGAACTGCCCATGATGATGTCCCTGGCCTTGTTTCTTACAAAGAAAAACCAGACACTGAGGTTCCAAGATGCCTTTTTCTTCCCTTTAATACTCTGGCCATCAGCAGTTATCTAGAGGGCTTCTCAACAGGCCTCCCCTGAACAGGGACTCACCCAGAGTCTTCACTACTTTTCTGTTAGTATGGCAAACACCATGACCAAAAGCAGCTTTGAGAGGTAAGGGTTTATTTGGCTTCCATGTCCCAGTCCCAGTCCATCATTCAGGCAAGCAATGGCAGGAACTCAAGCAGTGCAAGAACCTAGAAGCAGAAACTAAAGCAGAAGACATGGAGGGAATGCTGTTCACTGGCTTCTCTCCATGGCTTGCTCAGTTTGCTTACTTCGACAACCTAGGACCACTTGCCCAAGGCTGGCACCTCCTACAGTAAGCTGGGCCCTACCACATCAATCACTGAACTAGACAATACCCCCCACAGACTTGTCTACACACCAATCTGGAGGAGGCATTTTCTTGGTTAAAAGTCCCTCTTCCAAGTTATGTCTAGGTTTGTGTCAAGCTGACTTATAAGGAACTAACAAACTCACAAAAGTTTCTTTGGTGGGAAACTTGTCCTGCCAAACTTCCACAGACAGGTCCAGGATTGCAATCTTCCTGAACCTGAACTACAGCTTCTTGACAGCCTCTTCAACCTTGGTCCAAATACATCAGAGGTAGCAGGGCACCTCCTGCTGTGTGTACAGTACACAAAGGCGAGTAGTACACAAAGCAGATGGGAGAGGGGCACCTGAAATTTTAATAACCATGCTCACCAAACTCAGAATTGTCGAGTAAATGTGTTTACTGAGTTCCTGGATATATTGCTGCCTGCATAAACTCAGAGATTCTGTTCTCTCTATCAGTATATAGTAGGCAAATTTATTTTATAATCAAAGCCTCCACAGACTCTTATACCTGAATAAATGTCATTTTATTGGGTATTATCACTTAATCCCTAAGGAATAGTTGTACTTCTAGTGTGGAAACAAGGCTACAAAGACCTCCAGGGAAATAACTCCAGTGTCGATTCTGCGGTTTATATAAGGTTCCAGCAGGCACTAACGGACACTTGTGAAATTCATTTGCTGAAGAACCAGCAGTATTAGCAGATGGTAAGAACCCAGAGAAAAGAGAAATCCACTCACTTTTAGAGACTTAATACAAGGTTTAATGGAGATCAGAATGCTCTAAAGGCAGGGAAGGAATGAACTTGCCATCAAGAGTGAAGGCAAGCAGGCAAAGGGCAAGCACTTCTTTCTCCCAGGTCCTTTAGATAGGCTGCTACTAGAAGATGTGGCCCAGATTTAAGGATTGTGCCACCTCAAAATATCCAGGTTCAGGGTGGGTCTTCCCACTCCAAATAATTCAACCAAGAAAAATCCCTCACAGGTGTACCCAGTCTCTTGGGTCTTAGCTAATTCCAAAAAGAGTAGAGTTGACAACCAAGGATAGCCACCACAGTGGTTAAGAGCAATTACTGCTTTTGCAAGGACCCGAGTTCAGTTCCCAGCACCCAGATAGTGGCCCACAACCACCTGTAACTCCATTTCCAGGAGATCCCTCTTCCGACCACTTTGGACTCCTTCCTGCACACACTTGGTGCAAATACATGCACTCAGGCACACACAAACAAACATAAACATAAAAATAAAATTAAATTTTTAAAAAGCCCAGGACCAGATGACTTCACAGGCCAATCTACTAAACATTTGAGAAATATATGCTTCATTCTTTCCTTCAGTCCTCTTTCATCCTATTAATCCCTCTGATTAAAACTATATTTAAAATGTCCCTCAATAAACTTCAACTCTGATTCATATAAAATACTATGATATATCAGTTTTTCAAAAAAACAGTAGTGAATACTTATGATTTGCTTACTTTTCTTATTGCTATGACCAGATACCTGGAATCTAAGGGCTTCTTTGGGCTCATTGCTTGAAAATCCAGCTAGTCCAACAATAGCTTTCCATCCAGCCCTGGAGGGAATCATGGCACAAAGCTGTGGCAGCAGGGACAAGCAATTAGTCACGCTGCACCCACAGCCAGGAAGCAGAGAAATACTGGTGTCCAGCAGATTTCTTATACCTCTTTCCTCTTTTATTCAGTTCTGAGTTTGGCCATTTAACCTGGAAAGTAATGGAAAAGGGTTCATCACTTCTATTGTATGGTTCAATTTTATTATATTTTAAAAATTCATTCTGTGCACCTGTGCTTTGTATATAGGAGAAAGCATGAAAAGGCATGAAGGTAGGTCAGAGGACAACTTTCAGCAATCAGTTCTCTCCTACTCTGGGTCCTGGGGATTGAACTTTGTTGTCAGAATTGGCAGCTTGTAATACTGCACAATACATGACCCTCAACAGTACTATCCCATGACTCCTCTGTCTCTAGTTTGCTGTGACACTGACTAGATCTCTTCCCTTTTCTAAGTCTTTAGGCTCTAGCTATGAATAGAATGTGAAGTTGAATTAGATGGTATTCTCTGGTGGAACGTGTACCTCCACAATTCCTTTAAAGTTAAGGCTCAAGGGTCTTAAGAATGTTACAATCTGAATTTACCTTTTGAAAAATCATTTTTATTATGGGGGGCTATATGTGTATTGGTGTGCCACATGACTGCAGGACCAAAAGAGGGCATCAGATCCCCTGGAACTGGAGTCATAGATGGTTGTAAGCTGCCACTTAGGTGCTAGGGGTGAGACTCAGGTCCTTGAGAAGAGAAGCCTATGCTCTGAATTACTGACTCATTGTTCCACCCTTGAGCTTACCATCTGTGGACAGTGATCCACCTTATCCCACTAACCCATTGTATTGGTTACTTTTCTATTGCTGTGATCCAACAACCACGGCAACTTATTTGGACTTACAGTTTGAGAGGGTTAGAGTCCATGATGGTGCAGGGAAGGAAATGTCAGGATCAGGAAGCTGAGGGCTCACATACTGAACTCCCAGCAGGAACCAAGAGCTCCAACTAGAACTGGCGAGTCTTCCAACACTCAAAGCCCTCCCCAGTGACACGTGTCCTTCAGCAGGGACATAATTCCTAAGCCTATGCAAACAGTGACACCAATGGGGACCTAGCATTCAAACATCACACCCACTGACAGCTCCATCCTGGTTCAGACATCACCTTCTTCCACCATCGTTCTTCCAACACTCAGAGAGCCGGCCTTAGAACTCCCTAGAGACCCCTCTCTTCCCGTCTCACCCTGGACTTCCTTTGCTCCACAGACCCTCGGGCAAAATGTCCTCTTCTACTCTCAAAGGACATCGCTTCTTGCCAGAAAGCTGCGTGCAGAAATTTACTTTAACCGAAACTTTGTATTGTGGCTAAAATACTCCATCCAGTTAACAATTCGGAAGGATTTGAGGGGAAACAAGATGCCGAAAAGGAAATGGGAAGAGTCCATCTTTTAGGTCAGAAGTGGAGAGATGGTCACACGGTCTCGTTAATGTAATTCTTTGAATGCACTCTCATCGCTTAATTTCAAAGTGTTCGATCGCACGGTTGTAGAACGAGGAGGACAGGAGGACTGTCATGGTACATTGTCTGTTTGCCTTTCTAATTTTTCAAGGAAACTGTGACACTAAAATAAGAGCGCTTCTATTTACTTTTTCATAAAATATTCTTTTTTTGTTTTCATGGTTTTTTTCACTGTGTAGCCCTGGCTGTCTTGGAACTCACTGTCGATCAGGCTAGTCTCAAAGTTACTGAGATCCACCTGCCCCTGCTGGGATTATAGACCTGTGTCATCATGCCTGGCTTTAAGAACACTTCTTAGCAGGGCTTGGGGGCTCACACCTATAATCCTCTAAACCAACTGAGAGACTGAACAAAATATAACAAAATAACTTCTTATTTCTTAATTTAACTTGTCCAGGATCGCCCACTCTATATGGTCAGCACTTGTTTACTGGTTGGTTGGTTAGTGTGGAAATGGGAGTTGAGCCCAGAGCCTTCCGCATGCTAAACGAGCACTCTACCACTGAGCTACAACCCCTCTCTTGACATTTTTATTTTAAGACAGGGCCTTACTAAGCTGCCTGGGCAGCTCTTGAACTTGAAGACTTCCTGTTTTACCCTCCCAAGTAGCTGGTTAAGTGTCCTGTGTCAACTAACTGCCTTCTACTGAGCCAGTACTCCTCTTTGTGCCTCTGCTTCTTAAAAGCTCTGTGAAACAGGCTCCTTCCTGCCTGGTGAACCACAGCAGAGACACACGATCAGAATGTGCAGCAAACAAGTACAATGCAGCTTTAACAGTTCAAATCCTTGCTATGGGAGAAGGCAGAGGAATGTCACCATGGGAATGAGGAGGAACAATCATTGTGAAGCCTGTCTAATGTTAAAGCACAATTGTCAACTTGTTTCCTTAAAATATACAACTAAAGCATTGTTTGTCATAGCCAGAACCTGGAAACAACCTAGATGCCCCTTGACCAAAGAATGGATAAGGAAAATGTGGTACATTTACACAATGGAGTACTACACAGTAGAAAAAAATAATGACATCTTGAAATTTGCAGGCAAATGGATGGGTCTAGAAAACAACATATTGAGTGAGGTAACCCTGACCCAGAAAGACAATTATAATATGGGCTCACTCATAAGAGGCTTTTAGACATAAAGCAAAGAAAAACCAGCCTACTATTCACAATTCCAGAGAACTTAGACAACAATGAGGACCCTAAGAGAGACATTCATGGATAGAACTTAGACAACAATGAGGACCCTAAGAGAGACATTCATGGATCTAATCTACATGAGAAGTATAAAAAGACAAGATCTCCTGAGTAAATTGGAGCATAGGGACCTTGGGAGAGGGTTGAAGCGGGGAGGGGAGAAGCAGAGAGGGGAACAGAGAAAAATATATAGCTCAATAAAAACAATAAATAAAAAAGAAAAATATGCAATCAAGTTGTATCTATATTTCCTTCTTGCTATAAGGATGGAAGTACTTCTGTGTTTACTACACCACTAGGCCCCAGAGACTATCAGTGTCCCCTTCCATTGCCCCCATTCAGGACCTCACAGATTTTCAGTTACCAACACCTTTGTATCTATGGGTTTTCTCAGAACCATAGAAAAGCGGTCTGTCAGTCAAAGTACCCAGTAATTAACACACACACTCTCTCTCTCCAAGTCTTCAGGGATATAAATATCCCCAACTCCCTACCAATTATAATTGGCAGAATACTTTCTGAGAGGCATGTTATATTGTTTCCCAGAGTGTCTCTGTGGACCTAGGTCTGAGAACCAGCTTACTCGCCTTCCAGAAACACTCTCTACTGGCATACCCTAAACCCCTCAACTCCCGACTCTTGTCTCATTTTCTGCTTCAGTTCATACATCTCCTTGATGTATGGCTTCTGTCAAGTTCAGCTTACAGAGAAGCTCCGACAGGAACTCAGAGGTTTTCATTCTATCCCTCAGCCTCCCTGTCATCCCCAGAGCTTCCTAATGGTAATGGCTGGCTCGACACCTGATTCTTCCTGAGACTTCAGAGTTCACAAAGCACCACACCTTTACTAGCCATGGAGTGCCATAATGTTCCTTTAGATACACAGACACACACATACACACACACACACACAGACACACACACACACACACACACACACACACACACACACACGCACACACGTTTGAATAACTCCCACAGAAGCTTTTCTCAGGCTATCAAGTCTGATTAGGTAACCAGTCAGATAGTAGAGGCTTAAGGAGGAACCCCTACACATACCTTCAGAATCAGCAGCTTGTAAAACCAGGAACTGAAGCTACAAGACCCTAAGTGCTAGGTAAAAAGAATGAGATCTGAGTTGTGTTTTGGGCTCTGGGTAGAGACATTTCATTCTGAACTTCCCAAAAGATCTTAAGGTTCCTATTTGCAGGGAGACTTTCTCATAAAGAATGAAGACACACAGTACCCTTTTCTAAAAAGTTAATCCAAACGGGACTGCCAATGACCTAAACAGGAAAATGCCCCACTGGGGAAGCTGTGTAGTCTACAGACTTAAGAAACAGCAAAAAGCCTACCTAAAATGTACGAGAGCACATTGGTGCTTTGACCAATGTCCACTCTTACCACTAGAGAATATACCCTACACAGAATGGCCCCTCTGGCTATCGGCCACTCTCACTCTTTGAAAGTATTTCACTTCATGATGTAATAAACATGACCTATCTTCTGCACCACGCTCCAGAAGTCTTGCCTGAATTCTTTCAATGGACATCACAGGAACACTGACCTCAGAGAGGATAGTTGAAGAGGACAGGAGACTAAGAAAAGTAGGAGCACAAGGTGAAGCAGACAGAGTGACAGAAGTCACCAGTCACAGCACCAGTCACGGGAGAGAAAGTGTTGTGCTGGCTACAGGTGGGTCATAAAACATTCTAAAGGAAGTTCTTGTCTGGGTCGGTCTAGCCAGCATCTCCCAGGAAATCAAATGGAACCACTGTGCCTACATACATTTCAGGTAGGCTTTAATGTTTCTCAAGGATCTAGAATAGACAGCTTCCCTGTGGGGGCATTTCTCTGACCAGGTGATTGACAGGTCAATTTAGATTAACTCAATGCCAGAATAGAGTTGGAGCCTCTATTTCTAGCTTACTTCCTAGCTACCAGCCAAAGACATCAGCTTCTTTCCACAATAGGCCTCATCATATAGCTGGCACTCCTAAGATCCAGTTGGGGAAGGGGTATGTTTATATTTTGTTTTGGTTTGGTTTAGTTTTGGTTTTATTGTCTATAGCCCAAGCTGGTCTGAAACTCAAGGCAATTCTCCTGTCTCAGACTCACAAATACTAGCATTACGAACAGGGGTCATAAAATAACTTTTTCTTCATTTCAAACTTTACTATTTAAAAAAAAAGTCACAAACCAAAATTAACTGATCCAAAATCTATAGAACTCAGTGAGCATCTATACAGTTAGAGTAGCCTTTTGTAACAGAAGCTGTAGACCTTAGATTTTGTACTTTCACCATCAAATACATTTTTATTCATTTACCCATCACCAAAAAAACCTATGAGTTAGAACTAAAAAACCAATTATATATCATTTCATAATTCATGTTCATTATTGAACTCAATTGTTATTATTATACTATACCCCTATGTACATTTGCT